GAATAGATGCAAAGATTGTAAAGAGAAAACTCATTTAATCAATAAGTGTTTTGCATCTATTCCCTTCTTCTTGAATAGTTTCTATCTATGTAAGTAATACTCCTACTCCAAAACACTTATTGATTAAATGAGTTTTCTCTTTACAATCTTTGCATCTATTCCCTTCTTCTTGTTAAAGAAGGGAATAGATGCAAAGATTGTAAAGAGAAAACTCATTTAATCAATAAGTGTTTTGGAGTAGGAGTATTACTTACATAGATAGAAACTATTCAAGCCAGCATGTGTCATCCTTTGGTCTGTGTGGTTGATTTCCCTGTTGGCCTCATGCCTGCGGTACTGTTGACCATCGTCGACCTGACACTTTGTCACTTACAGGTTTCATGACTCTATTTCAGGGAAAGCAACCACACAGACCAAAGGATGACACAGACTGGCTTGAATAGTTTCTATCTATGTAAGTAATACTCCTACTCCAAAACACTTATTGATTAAATGTGTTTTCTCTTTACAATCTTTGCATCTATTCCCTTCTTCTTGTTAAAGACAATTATAACAACTGGAATACTTTTCAAGAGCTTCATAACCTCCATTATTAGCGGTTTGTAAAACACTTATTGATTAAATGAGTTTTCTCTTTACAATCTTTGCATCTATTCCCTTCTTGTCAATAAAGAAGCGCATGGTTGTCAAAGATGTAAAATATTGTAAGAGTACTCCCATCTTGGGAGCTCTTTTATCAATAAATCCATGTTTTGTTATACTTGAGTGTTCATACAAAATAGAGTCATGAAACCTGTAAGTGACAGAGTGTCAGGTCGACGATGGTCAACAGTACCGCAGGCATGAGGCCAACAGGGAAAGCAACCACACAGACCAAAGGATGACACAGGCTGGCTTGAATAGTTTCTATCTATGTAAGTAATACTCCTACTCCAAAACACTTATTGATTAAATGAGTTTTCTCTTTACAATCTTTGCATCTATTCCCTTCTTCTTGTTAAAGACAATTTACCGCATTCTTGTTAAAGACAATTTACCGCACAAAACCGCACACACATATCAAACTGGTATCAGAACAAGAAGATACTGAATCAGAACAAGAAGATAACTTTAAAAAAGAGCTCCCAAGATGGGAGTACTCTTACAATATTTTACATCTTCTCCCCTCTAAGGGAGATTTTACTCACAAGACATTAAAATTTGATAGGATAGAGAGTGTTTTTCTTGCACTCGTTATTACGATGCCCTTAATGAAAACATAACTCTCAATTTATAGATACATTGAGAGGGTCTGATAATTGTTTGTTACGCCAGACATGACGTTTCTCTCCACTAACGAATTACATTATTGTGGATAGCTGGAAGGCATCTCTAAAAGGTAAGACGTATTATTTTTCTGAGTGGATGGAAGTGTGCGGAGCATCTTTTATTAAGATGATGAGGATTTGTCATCTTCAGAGGAGGGCCCCTCCTTTGTCTCCGAATCTTTGCTTTCGCAAAAGTGACAGAGATGTTCTTCGAAAAGTTGTTCTGCATGTCGGCAGAAGTGTTGGTGTGTAGCGTTGGAGACTTCCATGGTATTGTTCATGAATTTTTTGCCAAACATAGAGGCTTGACGAAGATCTTCTTGACTGGTGTTGTTGTAACTCCAGCTTGTAATTATACAATGTGAGTTGGTATAATTAATCTTCTTTTTTGAACCAGAGATAATCTCAATGATTTTTTCTGAGATTCTTCTTAACCCATTGATGCGATTGGGATGAAGAATTTCTGTGAATGGTAGATCTTTATCCTCCATTGGTCGAGATTGTTCAATTTCTCTATTGGTTTTAGAAAGACCAATTTCCAGAAAAGGGTATGAAGAAAGAGTTGATTCTTGAATCCATTCTGGGAGTGAAGAGATGCATCTGATGTAGATCGGGTTATCTTTTGCTTTAAGTACTTTCTTTCGAAAGTTCTTAATGGATTCTACCATGCTGCTTGGGAAGAATTTGAGTTCTTGAAGGTTGCAACTTGGGTAGATATTGTCGATTAGTCCAGCTTGAATAGCTTGGTAGACTAAATTTGCATCTGCTCCTTCGAGGAAGTTGAACAGACTTTTTGTCTTCTTATCCGTAGTGAAAAACTTTTCATAAATAAGATCTTCTGGGCATGCAGCTCTTGCTTTCTTCCAGATTGTTCTGAAATCTTCAAAAGAGATTTCAGGATAGTTAACCGTTTGTTGAACGTCAATTGGAACGTCAAACCTTTGGTCTCTGTGAGCTTCTTTGACTTTTTGGATTTTTGGTCGAAGAAGCGGTTGGTTAGTTTTGCTTGTATCATCTTGATAGGTGGCAAGGCTTAATCTTGCAGATGTTTCATTTCTGAATTTTTTGCAAGTAACTTTATCAGCTTTACAGAAAGTTTCTGTAATTCCCCAGTCAGTATGAACACCGGCATGTGGTCCTTTGTAGATTACATAAAATCTTTCAGCTTCTTTGTTAAGAGTTTTTTTGTAATCTGGTGTAAACTCCTGCACAGATTTGTTGGTGGGTGACAAAGTTGTCATTTTACTGATTCCTTCAGTACAAGGATTGGGGTTAACCAATAAGCTAGTTTTTCCTTCAGGAAGAGGAGTAGCTGTCTCCTTTATTATGCTTTTTAGCAAAGCATCAGCTTTCAACGAATTTTTCGATTCTTTACCAGGTGCCGTTTGCACTGGAATAGCCTTTGTTTTTAAGCTTTCGCTTTCCGGTACATTGGTGACCGTTGTTACTTGTTCATACAAGTTGATTTTCTGCTCAATTGCAGATTGCTCAATGAGGAGCATTTGTTTCTTTATCCTCAAAGTGTTGAGGTCTTCCATTTTTGTAAACTCAATTTTTGTTTACTTTTCTCTCTAATCTCCCCCTCTCTTTTTTGTAGGTGAAGTTTTTTGTGAGGAATATGTCATGAGGATCATATCCTTTTATAGGGCTCGAGAGGAGCAAGTGAGATCATGGATGATGTAAGGTATACCTGAAGTCACGGGTGAGGCAGTCTGCCAGTACATTTTTATTTCCTGCGAGATGTTCAACAGTGAAAGTATATCGTGAGAACCACTCTTGCCAACGTATTAGTCGGCCTAATTTGTTGTCTCCTGCAATCTTAGTTCGGAGGAAATAAGTAAAATTTTTATTATCTGTACGAACCAGGAAATTTACTGGTGTTAAATATACAGAGAATTTTGTAATAACTCTTTTTACAGTGAGTAATTCTTTTTCATTCCTATGGTAGTTTTTCTCGGCTGCCTTGAAACTGCCAGAGGTGTACCTGCAAATTTGTTCTTTATTTTTGGGGGTTTTAGCTTTTAAAACACCTCCCCAAAATTCATCAGAAGCATCAGTTTCAATAATTAAACTGTCTTCAATGTTTGGAAGATAAAGTTTTGGAAAATTGATTAAAACTTTCTTTATCTTTTTGATGTAGTCTGTATCAGCATTTGACCAATTCCAGATGACATCTTTTTTCAATTTTACCTGTAAAGGTTTTCTCATGACTGCAAGTTTTTCAATATATGTTTCAGCGTAAGTTAAAACACCAAGAAATCTTTGCAGTTGTTTTTTGTCTTCTAAAACATTTGGAAAGTCATGTAAATGTTCAAGAATATGCTTTTGAGGACAATGAGTACCCTCATTTATTTCTAAACCCAAAAAATTAATTTTTGTTTTGAAAAGATGAGATTTCTTTTTGAAAGTATTATTCTATATTTTAAAATGGTTCTGAGAACCTGTGTAACATGAACATAGTGCTCTTGTTCATCTTTGCTGAAGACCATGATGTCATCAACGTATACAGTACAGAAACCTTCAAGTCCTCGAAGGGCGTTCTGCATGTGTCTTTGAAAAATACTAGGAGCTTGTTTAAGCCCAAAGGGCAGTACTTTCCATTGAAAGAGTCCATCAGGACATGTGAAGGCAGTGAGAAGCTGCGATTCTTCATCAAGTAGGACTTACCAGAAACCTGACTTGCAGTCAAAACTTGAATACATATTTTTTCCTCGTAGAAGAGTCAAAAGTTCATGCATATTGGGAAGATTATGTGAGTCTCCAATAGTTGCATCATTGATTGCTTTGTAGTTGACAACCATGCGCTTCTTTCCTCTTTTTTTTTCTGCTTCTTTATTGACAAGAAAGACAGGGGACATATGAGGGGATTTTGATTCTATAATTAGTCTCATATCAAGTAATTCCTTGATTTGTTTGGAGAATTCTTCTCTATCTTGTAGAGAGTAAACCATAGGTTTTTCTCTAATAACCGTTTTGGGATTAATGAGCTTAATTGAAGCTTTCATCCATCCTTTGGTTTTATCTGGATCAATAGGATTTTCAGAACAAACTTTTTCAAGAAGATCTTCAATCTGTTTGAACCTGGTAGTTTGAATAGAAATAATCATTTCTTTATTAATTCCTTCTTGGGTTATATTAGTACCCGTAATTTGTTTTTCTTTAGAGCCTTTTTCTTGAGTTTCGAGAAAACCTGGTTTTCCTTTGCTATAGGCTTCTGTGACCTTTTTTATAATTACCATATCATTATTAAGATGAAAGGCAATTCTATCTATCCATTGTATAAATGGTCCATAAACTTGACAAAAGTTGTTACCAATTATGATATCAATTCCTGAATTTTGTTGGTAAATAGTGGGAACGTTGAAATGTTCTCCTGAAAGTTCGAGATTAATATTTCTACAAACTTTATTTATCTTTATGGTTTCACCATTTGCAATAGTGGCACAAATTTCTTTGGGAGCATTTTCCCAGAGCTCATCCGGAATGATGAATTTGCTTGCAAGACATAAAGATGCACCTGTGTCTACAAAACAATGTACTCTAAATTTCTTATATCCTTTAAAGTTAAGGAAGGCAGAAACATAAATAGAGTTTGGATTAGTGAGATTCATGATAAGGGAATCATTAATCTTCTGGAGGTTTGCGCAAAAATGGTTAAACTCATCCTCCCTAAAAAGTGGAGCCTGTATGAGACTAGTCTGAGTCATCCGTGGTTGATTCGTTTTCATCAGAATTTGATGAAGAATCAGTTTCAACATGAAATGTAAAGACATGTTGTATACCTTCATACTCCTCTTCAAGAGCTTCATAACCTCCATTATTAGCAGTTTGTAAAACCTTGACTTTGTCAGGATATTTTTTTCTATTTGGACATTCATTGGCATAGTGTCCTTCTTCATTGCAGATCCAACATCTACATTTTTTCTTTCCTTGTGGACAGGAAGTAGTCTTCTTAGGTGATTCTTTTGAAGGTTTTTTGAAGTATTTTCCTGGTGAAAATTTTATTCTTTTCTTTTTCCAGAAAGATTTGTATTTCTTTTTGTTTTTATTTTTTTCTTAGTATAAGTTTTCCTTCCAATATCAAAGTTTTTGAAATCAGAGAGAATGCTACAACAATCTTTACTTATTGTTTTGAGTTTTTGTTGTTTATATCTGTCTTGACAGATTCTATCAATTTCTTCCTTTGCAATTTTTGTTGCATAAGAAAGACTGGTTTGCTGGATTTCTCCAGTAGCTTCTTTTTTCCATCTTTCAGTACAGATTTCTCCAATCATTGGAATTTTCATTAGATAAGCAGATATCCATTGTGCATATTCACTTCTCTGGGGAATATCATATAGATATGATTCATACATGTGTATTTGTTTTTTGAAGTATTTTCCTGGTGAAAATTTTATTCTTTTCTTTTTCCAGAAAGATTTGTATTTCTTTTTGTTTTTATATTTTTTCTTAGTATAAGTTTTCCTTCCAATATCAAAGTTTTTGAAATCAGAGAGAATGCTACAACAATCTTTACTTATTGTTTTGAGTTTTTGTTGTTTATATCTGTCTTGACAGATTCTATCAATTTCTTCCTTTGCAATTTTTGTTGCATAAGAAAGACTGGTTTGCTGGATTTCTTCAGTAGCTTCTTTTTTCCATCTTTCAGTACAAATTTCTCCAATAATTGGAATTTTCATTAGATAAGCAGATATCCATTGTGCATATTCACTTCTCTGGGGAATATCATATAGATATGATTCATACATACATGTGTATTTGTCGAGAAGACTAATATCATGTAACTGGAGTTTTGTCATTGAAACTCTTGCTACGTCAACTTTCTTATTAATGGTAAAGTCTTTATTAGAAATATAATCAAGACATAAGAAAGTAGTGTATATGACATTTATGAGATTATCAAAAAGATCTGAACCATGCAAATCTTCATTCCAATTATTGTTTCTTAGGAACTTTTGCACAATTCCATCAGTTTTGTGTTCTAAAAGTAGAAGAACATTTTTTGCTTTTTCAAATTCATCTGGGTTTGTCTGTAAGATTAGTGAAATCTCAGTAACCCATTTTTCTACAACTCTTTCTCTGAGTTTTAGATCTTGGATACAATCAATATTGAGTATATTGATCGTATTGGGTCCTTTGCTACTATCTGGTATGCCATTGTGTACAGACATTTTGAACTCATATTTCTTTTTATTGCCTCTTCTTGTGGCTGTATAAGAAGATTCTGCTTCATCATCTTCCATATCTGAATATTCGAACTTAACAGTCTTTGTATTAGTTTTAAAGTTATCTTCTTGTTCTGATTCAGTATCAGGTTCATCTATTTTAGTCATTCTAAAATATTGATCAAAAAGTTTGGGTTCTTTTTTATACAATTCTTCGCATTCTTTAGTTTCTAAAGATAAAAGCTGAATAAGTTTTTGGTCAGCCTTATCATAATCTTCATATTGAAGGTTAAAGAAATATTTCTCAAGTTTCTCAGAGATTGTTTCTTTCATTTTTGCTCTTTTTTGAAAATATCAATTTTCTGGGAGTCTTTTGAGCTTCCTAAGTCAGGGTTTCCAATACTAGGATTGGGAGGTGAGTATTTCTTAAGACCTGAATATTTTCCAGGTTTGGTTTTTTGCTCTATGATGGAAATATTCTTGATGTGTTCAAGAATGTCTTTATTACAAGGGCAAGAGTCAATCTTTTCAGATAACTCTTTAGTAATGTCTGCAATAATTTTTGCAGATGCTACTTCCAACTGTGTAGTGGTTACGTATTTATTGACTGTTAAGTCAAAGTTTATGATCAGCCCATCTATTTTTTCATTAAGGAGGTTGATTGATCTATTGAGCTCGGGAATCGAGGTCATCCTATTAGTTGTTTTAACTGATCTTGTATATTAGTGATCTTAAGGTTGTTTTCCTTAAGAGTGCCTTCAATATTTGCCTTTTTGGCGACTTCTTCAACAAAATGGTTGTTTTTAAAGAGTTTTCTAAAAGAATAGAATGTTTGTCAATAGACTGGGTTAACTTGATAGTTAATTTATTTTGCCTTTCAATAACTTCGAAGAATTTTTCAAAATCATTTTTATCAAGATTGTTTTTAACCAAAAAGGCTAAATCGTTTTTAAATTGGTTAAAGGTATTTTATTTTTTGAAATATCTTTTGAAATACCAAGGTAATGGCTTATTTTTGAAGTTTTTAAGAGACATCTTGCAATGATCTGGTTGAGATTATTGCAATGATTTACAATTGTTTGAATACCAGCTTTTCCAGAAGTAGAGAAAATGTATTCTTTCTTTTCAGTATTGTCGTCAAGAGTTTTAATTTTTACTGTTTTACCTTTTTTATAAAAATGAAGAAAATCTATTTTATTACTCATTTATAACTTCAGAGATTTGTTTGATATTCTGACGAAGACTATCAATTTTTAAAGACATGTTTCTTATCAAGTTACTATCTTTTCTTTCTGAGCTTTCTCCTATATGGAGTGAATCCATAGAAATTCTTGGTCTAAGAGTTTCTCCTAGAGCTTTTTTGTTTCTAGCTATATTTAAAACCCAAGAGTTTTCTTGAGGATTTATGTCGCAGAATTGTTTATCTTTGACATGGTCTATTTCTGAAAAGACTTCATCAAGTTCGATGTACTCGTCTTTCTTGTAGTCTATGCTATGGTGACTATTGGTCAGGGCATATCCTATGAGATAGGTTATGGTGAATGGTTTATCACCTGAGTTCATAAGGTCACTTCTTTCAAAGTGATGTATAAAAGATAAAGTTTTATCTATATTTGCAGATTTCAAATCCAGAGCAATTTTTGGATAGACTGAAAACATAAATTTTTGGTAAGCAAGGTTTCCCCTAGCAGCACCTAAGATGCAGTCCTGTCTGTCAGTAATTCTGTTGTCAATTAAGGCCATTTTTATGGGAGAATTTATTCCTGCTTGGAATTGGGATTTTATCAAAATTTTTACAGCTCCGATATGGACCATTCTTATTTTTGATCTAATCTCAACTGGAATACTTTTCAAGTTATTGTTTATTTGTTCTTTAGTTAAAAGGGGTAGAAAGACAGCTTCTATTGTGTCTTTTATGTCTACAGACATTTCTTTAGTACTAACAAAGTAGAAAATTTCATTTTTTCTTTTAAGTGGATTTAAAATACTAAGTTTAGAAGGAACATTTTTGAAAATGTTTTCTTTCTTTATTTTTAAATCTGTTTTCTTAACTCGAGAGAGGAGGTCTTGTTTTATTAAGAGGTTTGCATGAAAGTCGTCTTCATCCTCGACATAAGTTAGGATTTGTTTTTCTTCTGAATCATTTTCTTCAGAATTGTTGAAAATTTCTTTATTCATTTTAAGAAATGTTAACAAGTTAAAATCCTTTTTCTGAGTTCTGAAACTGAGTTTAAAGCTTTATCAAGGTGTTCTTGATGCATTTTTTGCCTATGAAGGAGGTACTTACGTATATTAACCATGGTTGGTATATATTCGTGAGTATGTTTATTTTGTGCTTGTAGAATTCTGAAATGTATATGCACTAAATCTTTTTTATTACTTAAAAGTATTTCTTTATGTTGAGAAATCTCATTCTCTTTATTACGAATTTTTTCGAAAATTCCACTGTAAAGTGTTTCATTATAATGTAATGTCATTTTAACAAAGGCTCTGATACCAGTTTGATATGTGTGTGCGGTTTTGTGTGGTAAATTGTCTTTAACAAGAATGCGGTAAATTGTCTTTAACAAGAAGAAAGGAATAGATGCAAAGATTGTAAAGAGAAAACTCATTTAATCAATAAGTGTTTTGGAGTAGGAGTATTACTTACATAGATAGAAACTATTCAAGCCAGCCTGTGTCATCCTTTGGTCTGTGTGGTTGCTTTCCCTGTTGGCCTCATGCCTGCGGTACTGTTGACCATCGTCGACCTGACACTCTGTCACTTACAGGTTTCATGACTCTATTTTGTATGAACACTCAAGTATAACAAAACATGGATTTATTGATAAAAGAGCTCCCAAGATGGGAGTACTCTTACAATATTGAATAGATTGTATCCAAGACTTAAAACTCAGAGAAAGAGTTATAGAAAAATGGGTTACTGAGATTTCACTAATCTTACAAACAAACCCAGATGAATTTGGAAATGCAAAAAATGTTCTCCTACTTTTAGAACACAAGACTGATGGAATTGTGCAAAAATTCCTTAGAAATAATAATTGGAATGAAGAATTTCATGGATTAGACCTTTTTGATAGTCTTATAAATGTCATTTACACTACCTTCTTAGGACTAGATTATGTCTCCAATAAAGACTTCACTATAAATAAGAAAGTCGACATAGCAAGAGTCTCAATGACAAAACTCCAGTTACATGATATTTGTCTCCTTGACAAATATACATGTAGATATGAATCATATCTTTATGATATTCCACAGAGAAGTGAATATTCACAATGGATATCTGCTTATCTTATGAAATACCAATCATTGGAGAAATCTGTACGGAAAGATGGAAAAAAGAAGCCATTGGAGAGATTCAGCAAACGACAAACTTAATTTTGTAGAAAAACTAATTGCTATCGCAGAACGTAAGGTTAGAAAACTTCGAAACAAGGAGATATCTTTAGTATTAGTCTATTGGGATTGCTCTCATGGGTTGGAAGCAACATGAGAAGTCTAGCCAGAAATTCGCAATAAATACCCACACCTTTTCGAATAAAATTTCGAGGACGAAATTCTAATAAGGGTGAGAAGGTGTGACAGCCCTGTTTTCAGAGATAGAAAATTTTACAACAAATGTATATTGTTATTGTTTATATAGATACATATAATTAAGTATATGACTCACTTGTATAAAGGAAAGCCATAAACAACTAATGATTGCTATAGAAAAAGGGTAATATTTCATTAGCAAGAAAAGTTAAACCTAAGTAAACAAGCACACAAGTAGCTTACAAATGCTTATATCATGCTTTCTAAGGTGCTTACAAGTTCTACAACATAGGAACAAGTCATATAAGCATAGAAGTCCATAGCTTGGTGACCAAGTAAACCTATAACTAGATTCTAGGCATAGATTTATAAGTTGTCCAGATTTTAATTAAGCTATAAATGACTAATCAAGGCTATAGGAAATGATATGTAACACTCTAAGGAGATAAGATGAAACAAGTACAATATGTGTCATATTCCTACGAGAGTACCATGTCTAAAGCATAAAGAACAAGAGATGTAATGCACCTAATTCATCTATAAATAGCTAACCATATTACCATTTTTCTTCATTCCAAAACAAAATCATTTACAAATAATTAGTAGAAGGAAGGCTTTAAAAGCATAAAGGTTCAATCTAAAGCAAAGTGGGTACTTATGTAATTTAATGGGATACATACATGCTATAATATGTTGTAAATTACTTTGCCATGATTAATTGCTTAATGTTTTAAAAACATGTTTTATAGTACATTAGTTATACTACTTTATTATTGTTTAATGTTTTAAAGAGCATGTTTATGGTATATTATCAATATAGCATGAAAGTTTTATACATGTTAAGTTTGGCCATTTAAATACCCATCGTACGGGGGTATGGTATGAAGGACCGACTTGCAACCGGACCTTATGGGACAGCCTTTTATGGATCCCGAGGTTAGCTAACCTCTTAACAGTTTTGGCCTACTTACATGTAACCATGAGATCTCAAAGAAATGTTTTAAAGCATGCATAAATTATTACTCTTAAATGATCAAAACCATAATTACTCACTGAGCTTAAAAGCTTATGTATTCTTGTATGTATCTCAGGACAACATGAGTAAGGGACCACATGAAGTAGTTTTCTATAAATAAGTTGAAGTGATATAAGTTACTAAGATAGTATTTTATATTCCCTATTTACCAGTTTATATGTAATAAATTTCTCTTTATGTAATAAAGATGTTTTTACTAAATGACATAGTTAAATTAAATATTAGTACCACAAGGGACGGGGCATAACACCAAGACATGTCTAGGTAGTTTAGACAATAAAAAAAATTTGACAAAGTTTGATTTCGACCACACCAAAATATCAAAACTTTCGTCCCTTTTTCCTCTCCGTTCGCTAAATAAATATTCACTTCACTCTTAGTCTCTTGACCTGCATCATCATACTTGTCAAATTCAAGCTCTACGTCAATAGTTGTGTCACAAAAACTACTTGACTTGTCACTATGTCTATTTTGTACTTTTGTTTTCTCCACTTTATTCTTGTAGTGGTTAAACAATTCATGAAGTGTCTTCTCCACCTTTTGTAATATTTGTTTGTCTTTCTCGAAATTTTAGCATAAATTGTTTCAATGCAAAAGGCAACATATTGATTTTTGAAGCATAGATCCAAAGATAACCGCAACATATGTGATCTATATAGTCCAAATATTTATCAAAGTTAGCTTTCATCGACTTTTAGACCCGACAATTTGAAACACGACACGAATATGAGTTTTCCTTGTAAGGGTTTTAGAAATTCGT